AACTATATGTAATATAAAAAATAAAAACAAAGTTAAATATTCACTGTTACATATTTAAAAACATAAACTTTTACTTTTTTGTACAAAATTTACACATGAAAATTCTTAAGAAAGAAGTAAATATTAGTAAAGACAAATCTACTTTTGATAAAATATTGTAATATCATGCAAAACTGATATTTGGTTTCAACAAATTTTTAATAAATTAATATGATGAAATTGAAAAATATAGGTATTATTAACTAGTCAACTACATAGATATATTTGTTTCAACACAATGGTTAAGTTTTAGATTTTGAACAAAAAAGATAGTAAATAGAAATTGTAGTAAATGAAAATTATATAATAACAGATTATAATAAATATATAAAATCAGAACCAATTTGGAAAATCTGTGAGAAATATCACAAAAAGAAAATACGTTGTCGCAAACCAGTATGTCTAGTCATCCAAGCTTAAATTTTCAACTATGGATACTCATGCAGGTCGCTTGATTTGTATTCGCTAGTAAAAGTTACGCCATAGCTATCTGTTAGGCAAATTACTACAAAGTAACTGGAACTGACTGTTGATATGGAACAGGTTATCTAGCGTGAACGTACCACACAATTCCTGAATCTAGTTTGTAAAACCGAACTTCATCCTAGCTATGCGATTTATTCCAAGGTAAATTTAATTATTTCAAACTCTTCCTGACAATATTTTATGTGAAAAAAAGTGATTTGAACCACGATAACTGGCTATAACTTTTTACACACGTAAATCTTTATATGAAAAATTTTATACCAGAAAATATGCAGAATTCTATGAATCATTGCATTGCATGCAAAGCAACAATTTATTAAACTAAAGAAAATTTCCTTGCTTTACTGATGGTGATATGCTTGCATTAATTCATTCTCTTTTTACAAAAGTTATGATTCATAAAGAGTTTGCTTTATCTATGCGACTTTATTTTATAAAAACTTTAATGTTTAGAGATACATAAAATTAAAAAAAATGTATATATATAAATGCAGTCATGTATATATAATCGCAATTGATATGAATTTATTCTTATCGATAATGGTTTGATACGGGCAAAATTAATCGTAACTTTCAAGTAATTTGTTTTACGTCACAAATCTTATTGTTAGAAAAAGAACTTTTCTAGAATCTTTCATTCTCTTAAAACAAACTCTGCAGACGATGCACCTTTTCCAGAATAGACTGATACCTCTCCTTTTTTTACGATCGTGTTCTGCCTCACTTGGCTCTTGACTGTAGTCCATATCTATTTCCGCAAAACCATAAAATTGCGGTGTTCCCATTCCCGTACCTTGACTGTACAGATAAGTGGCAGGATTCACAGAGCCCTTATCCACAAGATGCACCGTCAACGTCTCGATAATCGCGAGAACCGCATTAACCGACCACATTCGCGAGATCCGTTTATCATTGTAATTGATGTAACGAGCTTTCGCAACTTAGAAGCGGCAAATGAAATTGCAATGCAAAATAAGAATAGTCTTATATACATATAATTATCAGTTTCTAATAAAGCATAATTTGTTACCTTTTTTGTACAAAATCTTAACATTTAGTTTCTTCGTCATCACTATTTTTTTTTTTTTTTTTTTTTATAATAAATCTCAGCAAATTTAGTGACCGATAAAACTGACAATATAAAAATCCTGCAATAATAATAATGAAACGATCCATATAATCATGCGTAGATACGAGTGACATGCTAAACGAGTTATATTCATTCATTATATATCGGGTCAGTCATGTTTCTTCGTAAATTTAACGATTTTGCCAGTAGACGTGGGCACGTCCTGAAATGATGTACGGTTCGCTCGTATGAGTCGGTAGCTAATGCTCTAATATGCGCAAAGGGTGCCATGCCCGTGTCACGCGGATTACCACTAATTGTAGTTTATGCTTTATACTACGCTATTCTCTTGTACGGCCGTTGGGTATTCGATGTATTAACGGAGATCTGCGCGCGTGTGTATCCATCCACAGAGAGACGAGCGCCTATCTATGCATCACGTACGTGAAGATACGTGATAGATCGTATAGATGTATACGTCTATTGGTGAATATGTATCCGAATGATAGAGGTTCCCAAGTTTTTGTAATCATTAGCTTTGAGCTTGGGAATCTTGGCAAAGAAATACATTTCTATTTCTCACTATTCGCTATAGTAATTTTTCGTTGATAACTAAAACATTTTAAATTTATAAAATTTGCGTATGGATTCTAAATTTATGCATTTTTTCAATTTATCGCGTATTAAAGATCTTGAAGTACACAATTTACATTAGATTTCTTAAGAATTAGATTGCATATTGCAACTGTGAATGTGATATTAATTTATTGTTTTTATTAAACAATCTCCTTTAAAAAAACTTGTGTGATCTTATATAACGGCACTTATCTCGTCAATGATAGGACACCAATTAATATAGTACCTACACAAAAATTTGAAAATAATTATCATTTCAATCACGTTATCCAAATATAGAATTATTTATAGTTTAAGGCATGAGAGACTCTGGAATTGACCAAATTATTTGAATTTATTTTTGTTTTATAATTATTATATTTTAAAATATTGTTATGCTAAGAGAACAAAGTAATTGTCCGCATATTTATTCAATATTTATCGTCACGTGTGAATCGTAATATTATCGCTACTGTCAGTTTCCCAAAATAAATTTTAAATTACCCATGAAGATATAAAACGCGAAGAGAAAGTGAGTTTTTTGTGAAAAAGGAAGCGATGTTTTCCGACCCGGCAAAATTAGCAACTGCCAAGAAAATGATTAGCGCAATACGACATGTGAGTGGTTGAGCATTACTGTGATGCTGCTGCTGCTGCACACGCGGCGCGAACAGGGAGCTCGGACTTCCTCGGCTGTCATGTCCGCGCGTCTGTCAGTCTGGGCTAAAATAACCGGGCATCGCACCCCTGCCTCGCAATTAAGCGCGGCTGTATCTACCGGCTATACGCAACACACGATCCCCCGTCTACGCAGAAACGTGTACAGGTGCGCACGAATGTACGGGACTGCGTCGCAAAGGGTGCATTGCATCCACAGTGGCGATTCCCGGCACAAACTTTGTTGAAAATCGTCAGCTTAATTGTTTATTTTCAATTTTAGGTATACCGTTGCTCACATTATTCGGTTATTATTACGGAGAGATTGGAGCGCATTTAATCATTGAAAAATACATTTGGACAATTATATTTCATGCAAGTTTTCAGCATTCTTACGTTTGTCAGAAATACTTAAAAAAATATAGAAAACGTTAAAGAATATACCATACATGTGATACACGGTGTTTAAATTGACAAATCGTTTACTATGTTCTTCGATTTCTTAACTTTTATTGGTGGGTGGGTGCGTGTGTGTTTTTCTGTCTTTTACTTTTAGAAATTTTTGAATAGTTTTCCTGTCAATTTAGACAATGTTCGTTAAACTTTATATATACGAAAGCTGTATATATAAAAAAGTTTTTATATATGGAAATTACTTTAAAGATTATAAGATAAATATAAATATTTTTTCAAGGCTAAAATGCGATTGTCAAAAATTGAAATTATAATTCTATTTTTTCTCGATTAATGTTTCGTGTGGTGCGTATATTTCTTTCTCTTTCTCTCGTTTTCGTGTTCGTCACGTTTGTATAATTACCCGCGTTGTGGTGCCCAACCCTTATTTTTTTAACGGGCAGAACGCATACAACCGTTATATCTCGCGGCTACTATCGATGCGAGCGATGTTTACGTTTAATTACTGCTGAATGCAAACGTTTAATTGTTACGCGCTGTTTGTACTTAGAGTTAAATACTCTTTGTTTCCATCATATAAACAGATGGGAAAGTTTATTGCTACCAAATTATTTTAGCCGAGCAAAAATTACGGACGAGAGAAAAGTACATAAAGTTTTAGTAAATTCAATTTTCTTATTTTTAGAAATGCATATCAAAATAAAAATATATGTATATAAATACATTATATATTTATATGTATATATTGCCAAATCAATGAAAAATGATATAGGATAGGTACATAAAGAATTATAAGCAAGCAATTATATTTTATTTCAAGGATTGATGCAGGATTGATTGGAAGTTGAAATAACACAATATACATTTTCTATAATATATTTTACATTATAAACCAACCATACATCATCATAATAATATCTTGTATTCTTAAGCCTATGCGTGTTTTATCCTATATTTTCGTTTATATACTTCCTTCATATTTATACTTTGTTTACTTTTTTCCATAGTATTTATATATATTTTTATTTATATTCATCATTATTTATAATGTACTTTTATATGCTATGTTATGTATATATAATATCATACACGTTTCTTTTTTTCTTACGCACGTCCCAGGGCGTCTCGCGATAGTGTTGTGTGTGTATATATTGTGTGAAAATTGTTCCTGCAAGCGTACACATCTCGCCGTACCTGGTGTACACATGTCTGTCTCTACTTGCGCGCTTAGTACACGGCTCCCAGCTCCTCTCGCTTCTCTCTACATGTGTATTATATGCATGTGATTTGTGTATATTGTTGTCTTGTGCGTGGGCCGTCACGCATCGTTGCAAATTACATATACATTATACGGCTCTCGCTCGACGTGACGCGCTCTCGAGCCATTTCCAGCTCCTCAACTTAAATATGTAACGAGGCTCTGCCATGGGACCCCGCGGGCCATATGTTTAATCGCGGAAGTATACTTTAAGTCGCGAGCGCTTGATCGCTCCCGTCGCTTTCGTTATTATGACGCTTTGTTGCCGTTTGTTTTCGTCGTGCCGACATTTCGGTGGCTGTTTTCGTAATATAAGCACAGTGCCGAACGATGCACGATGGATGGATGTCGTACCCGGCCCCTTCCCTCGAGCTTCGCCGTGCCATTTCATGCGCGATATACAATATGTGTATGTTTTTACTGATGACTATATTTTTCACCCGATTGTCCGCGTTTTCGCTATTTTTTTTTTTTCAGTTTCTCGTTGTCCTCTTTACCGAAATGCATACACATAAAGAAGTGGATAAAGGCACCTAACTTCTTAGCGTACGGTCGTAAGTGATATGCCGCTTATCGCATCGGGATAGGGAAAAGGGCCATATCTACGGGGGCCCCGCAACGCATACTTCATCAAATCGTACGAAAAGCTACAAGAAAAATGAAGGAACGTCGTAATCTCTGTATGAATCGGACGCGATCATAATTATCGTACTCTTTTTTTTTGGAATTTTACCTCTTAATGCTTTTTCTGCTGAAGCATACTATACACCTCGTTTGTTCTCTCTCTTTCTCTCTCTCTCTCTCTCTCTCTCTCTCTCTATTTCTTTCTCATTCTCACGCTTTCTCACCCTTTTTTCCTTGTATGCCATCTGACACATTCGTATTCTTCCATTTCTTCCTCGCATGTTCGCCCTATTAATCTCTTCTCTCACACACACGCTTTCTTTCACGCATTCTCTCTCTCTCTCTCTCTCTTTCTCTATCACTCCATACGTTACATGTATCTATATTTGGGGGCACAGGGGGTCCGACAGGCTAGCCACATCTATTTTCTCTTACGAGTTACATCTCAATGTGTTTTCTTATTTCTTACAACTAAAGGTATTTAACACAGTATGTCACGGAGCGCGCATTTATATATGCCGCGCATCCGCATTCGTTCGCTCCCTTCTTCTCTTCGTTAAGCTTATATTCGTTATAGCTTCTATCTGTTGGCTAATGTTATCATCTTACACATATATATATGCATATATGTATATATAATATACATATTTGTATTATATATAGATGCGCATGTCTTGTTGTTTGTAGTCTTTCTTGTATAATATATATGATTATATACATACATTACTTTATGTTTTATGCTCGGTATCTATGCTTACGGCTCCTACTTTTGTTTTCTTTCACTGTGCTTTTTTTTTCTTAAACGTTTCTTGCTCTAATACTAAGCTGTTTCCACAGTGCTTTGCATCGGTAAGTATCCCAATTTGGCTTGACTGCTGCCCTCGTCCCGCTAAGAATTATGTTAGATTCTCGAGGGGCATCTAAATATAAATAGTTAAGTTAAATGCACCTCGGTTAGAAAGAAATTATACGTTTAGTTGCGATTTACGATTTAAAATTTAGTTTAAAAAACAATAGTACTTCTTAGAATAGTACTTCTTAGAATAAAATTAACCTTGTTTTTCTATAACAATCAATGAAATTATTCCCGTAAAAAATACATCTGATATGCCTATGTTGTATGTTAATTAAAACGCTAAAAATTCCAACAACTTACTATCTTGTACCTAACAATTTGTCATTCATAGATATTTGAAAGTTATAAAAAGTTTCACGGAAGTGCGAAGATTAGTAATCATGAACGGAAACTAAAGGGACATCTTAATTTAAGTACACAGCCCATGAATACTATTCTTGATATCACGTTCAGATTACATCGAAGTAAATTATAACGATTGTCATTGCTACGCACGCAATTTGTATGATCGAAACAAATGTAGTATGCAACAATAAATTTTACAGGATCGGCTAAGTTTCATTCTTAAGCGTCACCGCTCTAGAGTCGCGAAAAGAGAGAAAAAAAATCCCGTTTTCGTGAGCACAACTGCGGTTTGAGTAACTTGAAGCATCAATCGCTTAATTGCATTCCACATCCCTCATTGCAGTTCCTAATTGGGAGTGGTAGGATCGGCTTGATTGGCTCGATGATATGTTTCGTGTGTGCATCGCGGTACCTACGTGTTGATCGATATCAAAATCACGTTTTGTGGTACACTCGCGAGAGGCAAAAGCATTACGAACACGATAGGATAGCATCGTAGGCAATTAATACTCCTTGCTCTCTTACTTTCCCCAAGTCCGATATGCCACTTCCTCTGTCCATTGCCTGCACAAGACTTTGTGCAAACACGTCGGTGACGATAATTAATACCTAGACCTCGGTGAAAAGAACACGTACAAGTTTCTAAATGTATGTTTCTTCAATGATTGTCGACTATCGTTTGGTAAGTCTCCGCGAGATAAGTCTGTTCAGGCGGAGGAATATATATGCGGTGGCATCAGGGACACAAACGTGGAAACAAGTAAGAGAGCATCAAGGGAGGAGACGCACGGATGAAGAAGACATAGTGCCCGTTACGAGATACTAAGAGAAGAGAGGAAACACGCTACGTGACAGGAATCGAGCAGCGAAAAAGAAAAAAAAGGCACGCATTGAATTTTGTTGCAACTTGAGACCGTAGTAATTCGATGAGGATTGGATAACCAGATGCGGTCGCTTCGGTAAAGCTTGAACAATGCGATAATAAAGAATCTCGAAATGGTGTGTTATCACGTTATCTAGTACGCCAATTGCCAGATTGTAGAATCTGAGAACTGTGAGTTGAGGACCGCGGACAAAGGATGGAGGCAGCAGCCGCAGCACGCGTTTCTGTGTGTATGTGTATACATGTATATATGTTTATACATGTCAATATCTGTTTTTTTTTCGGTGTATGCATATACACGTGTCCTGACATTTGTGCCGTATAAGAGTGCTGAGTATAACTTGCGGATATTAGTTATTGCACTATCCCTCATGAACGCTTTTACTTTGTTAACCTAATGATCGACAAGCTAGATTAGACTAGACTACGTCTAGAGCTTTTGTTAAGTTTCTCGCCGCTATATTCTACACGTATGCTGTGTGCATTTTGTGTATTTGGTGTTGTGTGTATTTACATATACGCGTACGTGTTTTACACCTCGTGTATGCGCGCGCGTGTCCCTTTTCCCGAATAGGTCCATGACTTAGGTACCATAAGCGGATCTCTTTTGCTAGTTTTGCCCTATGTGGTGTGGCTTTTCGTCAAGCTTGCCCGCTCTTTATACAAATTTATTTCACCCCGTTTCAACACTTCCCCGTCATCCGTCGTTTCCGTCCGCGACTCCATTGCCCCTTTGTTTTTGCCTACTGTTCAGGTCAGATTACATTAATAATTATCTATCTATCACTTTATGCTACATTTTGGTTTCCCGTTTAACGCGAAGACTCGCACAATCGGCTAGCTCCACTCGGTATATGTCCTAGACAACATACAGGACTACATCAAGTTATACACACGCCTTCATGTTTAAGGCGTCTCTTTTTTAAATACTTTTTACAAGATCGGATATCCACGCTGATTCTTTGAAAGAATGCGGGATACCTCACTTTTTCTCTGTCGAAGGTGGAATCGAGTCGTAGTGCACAGTGAGCAATTCGATAAGGGGAGTGATTGGGCGGAACATAAGGAACGTAAAAGTAGAGTGTGTCAAATCCAATTAATAATCCTTTTATCGATTAAACGCTTCCCGGTTACTGTACAGGAGTTGATTGACAGATGCAAACGCACGCGATAACGAGTTCTTATTGCATAATTCGTATTACAGTCTGCCATTTGGGTCCCTCTTGCCACACGATCTTTCTCTGTTCCCCCTCTCTCCCCTCGCTCGTTCCACCTTTCACAAAAATAACCTATATTTTTATTTCTTTTGCCTAACTAATAATGTACACGATATTTTCTTTTTACTTATTATATATGTTCTTTTTCATGTCGTTTCTTAAAAGCTAACGCTCTTTCTCTCTTTTTCACGCACAGTGCTTTGTTTTACGCACGACGATTGAAAATAACAGCCCTCGCCGCCGCTGCGCGCAAGTATATATATTTATATATAATATATATATATGCATTTTTATATTTATACGTATGTATATATATTTATTTATAATTTTGTTGCTTTCTCTTTGCATACTCGTGCCGTGTCCTCGAGGCTAGTCACCCAATTTCTATTAGAAAACGAGATTCGGTTATATATAGCATGACGATTTCGTTTTAAGCTAAAATTTTAAATAATATGAAATTTTTGCAAATCGCGATTGTAACCTGCATTTTATTGTAAATATATTTACACTCTCTGATATTTTTAATTTTCTTAAAAGTTTGTTAGATATTTGTCGATAACATTATTACATTATAAAGATAAACAATGAAAGAATAATATTTAATTCCAATGACGTAGACGGAATTTTTTCAAGGTGCAGGTTACGACAAAACTGAATCGAAAGATGATTATAAAAATTGATGTTCATCAACATGCAAAAACTGCAAGAAATAATCGTGGTCGCGCTTACATCACGTGCGATCGTGCATGATAATTCATATATTGTACTAAACTAAAGACATAATAAAATTTAGAATAAGCTAAATGCATTCAGTAAGAAAATTATGTGCAGATAATTGAACGTATGTATGAATAAATATGTTTCTAATAACATATATACCAACAACAACACAAATTAGAAATAAATCTGATAACATATCTTTTGATGATCCTCTCTGAAACATACAAAACTGGAAACTCATATATATAATGTGGTTCTCTTTTACATTTCTTTGTAAAGCTGCAAATAAAAATAAGAGCAAGGCGACAAAAATGCAGCCAATATAGCGGCAATACTATTATCCTTAATTTTGTTTATGTATATAAATTACTATATCAGAATCATTCATCGCGATTGAAAACGCTGAAATGTGGCGATTTTTATTGTCGAGCTTTCCTCTCACGGGAAAATCACTCTTTTATCTGGTTGACACAATCGCGACGAATCGTTGGTAGACACACAGACACGCACACACACTCTCCCCCTTTCTTTCTCTTTCTCTCTCTCTCGTTCTCACCCTCTCTTTCTCTACTTTCATCACAAAACATCTAAACTCTATGCGATGTTGGGCAGATTTGATTGTGTAGTTCTCTACCCTCCTTCGCTACGTTTCGAGTATTCGTGTGTGCCGTACTTTGATCATTGATCTTTTTTGATTGAGAAACGTCGCTTTTGATTCGCTTAAAGCACGATCCGTCTATCTTTTGATTAATATCAAAGTTGTCTATCGCTCGTCCTATCTCGTTTTTGTTTCAGTCATCATCGATGTGCTCTCTTCGCCTCTTAATCTAACCGAACCTGTCTCTCTCTCTTTCTCTCTGTTCCTTTTTTGTTCCTTATCATCTTTATCTGTTCGTGCGAGCAAAATTATAGATTACGTAACCACGGAATATGTCACAAGAGAGATATTCGAAAGAGACGTGAAGATTCGTGTCGAAAATATCGAATTTCAAATATATTCTATACAAAATACATAATTTTTTAGAGTTTCAGACTTATAATTTTTAGAGCCTCACAGAGAAAGATTAAATGTAAGAATTTAATTGCAGTATATAATTTTCAAAAAATTGATATTTTAGATCTCAAAAAAAATATTAAATCAACATTATTTTTTTTGTGATTCTTCGACGATTAAGGACTTGAAGTTTTAATTGCACTAGTTTCTATATATATAAGTTCACTCCGATTCTACTCATTGCTCCGATATAAACGCTTTTCGAAGGAAAAGCGAGGACAAGATATTATCGATACGACGAGTATGAGTTGTGGTACTTAAAACCGAAGGGGTAAGAAGAGGCAGTAGATACGAGGAGCAAGAAACAGGACGATGGAGATACAAACGATCGAGCACGGAGATAACGGAAACGGGTTGCAATAAGTTTCAGCCGCTTCCCATCTTTTCAAGTATTGAAACTGCTCGTGCTATCACCTCGTCGATTCGCTTCCTCGTCCCACTTTTTCTGGCCGATCCTTCCCCAGAGCAAGCGGATAGTTTTAATGGCGGAGGAGCACGTCGATGATGAGATTATATGTACAATCAAGATCCTAAAACGGCTGCCGCGCGGACAGGGCACGCGTGGACAAAAAAACTTAATTCATCTAATCTAACTTTCGTGCTGTTTGTGCAATATGTCTATCTACGAATTATTTAACTCCTCTTTCCTCGCCCTTTGCTTGTGCTGTGCAATTTATTCGTCGCTCGGCTTTTTCCTCACGCTCCCCTTTCTCTCCCTCTCATTCTTTCTTCTCTCTTTTCGCTCTTTCATACTTTCTTTCCCTCCCCCTCTAGCATTCTCCCATATGTACGATTGCACTCATGCAATTGCTTACATGTTCACGATTTATACGAGTTTCGGTCTCGTCTTTCTTTTGTATCAATTTGGTCAAGTCGAAATTCGGGACAACGAGGATATTGTGATCATTTTACCGCTCACCGAACAATTTAAAATACACGCGTGCACGCGCCGTCTCCTCTATCTATATCTTGTCCATTTTATTAGTATTATTTTTTGTTCGTTGTTAAGAATTCGTATATTCTCTCGTTCTTTACGCAGCGAGATTGATTTATAAAGAGACGGAGGGATTGATGGCTGCCTTTTTTCTTCCTAAGCTTATAACGTTATATTGCTTAAACGTCAAAATCTCGATTTCCTTTGGTTCTACATAGTCATTTTATATAAAAATCTAATGTTTACTTAAAAACCACGGTGATCTGATCGGTGTTTTTCGCGTTTCCCCACTTTCTCAGTTTGGAATGTGTGCTAATTCGTCGATGCCTTTTACGGCGCGTCTGTTTTATAAAAGTATCCAACAGGTCTATACGTCGCGTCCGAAAGACAGATTCGAATGATAAAAACGGATGCTAAATTGCCTGCAAAAATTTCAATGTGTGATATATCGTTTGGCCACGAATCCGATAAATAAATATATTTGATCAAAATACGAAGTCTTTTCGCAAGTGGAAATGGGATAAGATACGTGGATCCAATAATAATTTCCGTGGTTTTTTTTAGACGGGCGAGTTGTACAAAGGGGTCGAGATTATTTTGTCCCCGTAAAAATGCTGCGCTATTGAATATACACAAGATCCACCTCCTCCTTGTCGCCGAATATCGAATCAACTTTGAATAACTTTTAATATAACATCCCTATCTAACTAGCTAATTGTTGAATTTTGTTTATATAATAATCTTTATTCTTTTATGTATATATTCTTTCATTTATATATATATATTTATATATTTATATATCTTCACGAGAGTATGCTTCGATTAATCTTTGTATTTATCATTTATACACCGTAGCCGCTCACCGGCCGTCGCATTTGGCCGTGAGCGTCTCTTTCGACATTATGTCTTTGAGTTATTATTTTCGCTGTTAAGCCCAAACTACAAAAATAATGAATCCGTATAACGAATCTGTTATCCTGCGATCTGTCGGCACTCTTCTTTTTTTTTTGTAGAAAGGATCAAGGAATTTATGCGTTTCGTTAAAATGGTGATAAACCACAATCTCATTGAACGTGTGTGCGGACTCATGTTTCTCATGTACTCATTATCGCTGGACGATACATAGTATATGCGTAATTGGCCAGTTTCGCTAAAAAAAAAAACACTGTCAGACCATTTACGAATGATTTGTTTACGTGTATTCCGGATTTGTATTGTATTGAAGCTTCGGTTTACTACTGTAACGGCAAACGCTATCTATTTCTTCAAGCCGAGCAAGATGCTAGATTATCCTACAGACTGGACGAGAGGTATTTCCGCTTTAGTAATCGGTAGCGGTTCTTTTCTCTTACACTGGACGTGAAAACTTACGGGGGAAATTGGGGATATTGGATGCATCTTGCGCAAGATTACCTAGGATTATGATCCTTAATCACTATTTTTTTTTATTTCTCACTTTGTTTCTTCGTTTTTACTAAGCAAGTGTTACTGCCTTTCGACTCGCGCATCGTCAAGCCGGAAGCGGCATGAGTTCTACTGCTTTTGCTGTCGCGGTCGATTGTGCATCGATGATGGAAATGTTGTTATTGTTGTTGTTGGAGGTGGTGGTAGTAGTGGAGGAGGAAATGATGGTGGTGATGGTGGTGGTAACTGTTGTTGCTGTAGAAGTTGTTCCTGTTGGGGTGTACTTGCTTACCATCACACTAGAAGGCTAGGCGTCAGCCAGTCCTCATCCGCTAGCTGGACCGCAACCAAGAACACACTTTACCATTTGAACACACAAACGCTGGTTAAATCTTGGTCCGAATTTCAAGAAAGTAATAGAAATATGCTCGACAATAGTCCTCTCTCTCCCTCTCTTTCATTCGTCTTCGCGCTCGTCTATGTGCTCTCTAACTTTTGCTTCCTTTCTCTCTTTCATTCATTCTCTCTTTCTCTCTCGCTTCTGCTTCATTCTTCACTCTTGTTTCTCCGTTACAGTTTCTCACATTCTTCTACTACATGGATTCTAATCGATCTGAATCTACCTTTACCATGACTCAACCTCCACCGTGTGGCGCAGTAGTAAGGACGTAAAAACCGCATAATAATTATATAATGTACAAGTAGTAAACTACTTGTATTATAATTCAAAGCGCTTCGGCGATGGCGGAGTAACCGCAAGATTTAGGTTAATGAGTTTTCTTGCAATACCTAATAATTGCAAATTTCTCAGTCGTTATCAGAAAAATCAAGTTTAGATTACTACGAAATCTACGATCGAATATCATAAATTGTTATACTGATAAAATAGACGCAAATATCACTTTTTTTTATTTTACTTTCGTTTCTTACATGTTTTCTTCCATTCCTTTTCGTTCCGACGAAAATATTATCCTTTTGCACAAAAATAAGCTGCAACGAGTAATTTCAGGCTGAATACGAGGTTGAGCCAGGTTGTAGATGCAGTTATCCTGATGCTAATTGATATTCGAAAGAAAGGATAAGCCAGGCCGTGCGATGATAGTGGTAGCGATCACTGTGCCTGCGAACCGAAATATGTAAATAAAGATAGTCTTTTTGAAAATTTCGAGCATCCCTTCTTGGATAGTGAGTAGTGAGTAACAAACAAGAGCACCAAATACAATATTATCACATATATGTATATTTGATCTTAAGTAATATTCATAATAATGCATTAATTAAAAAACCATATAAATCATAATTAAACTTATCCCAATTAATATAACACAGCAATCATAAAATATTTATTGAAATTGTCACGTTTTATTTCGAAATAATTATTCAATTTTTGTTGGGATTGTTATAAAAAATTATAATATATAAAAACATAAATATAATCTGCCATAAATATTACTTTATAAAAGTAAAGAAAGAAAAGAAAGGCACTCCAGAGGGATACTCGAGCTGAATTAGATAAAGTGCAAGAAGCATAATGCATGCAATGTCTACATTTCGCATTCCATATTCATGCAAGTCTAAATCTACGTAGGGAGTAGCCTATCATAGCTTTTTTTATCCATATGATATTTGTGATATCCATCTAATATTGGTATCCTCTTAATTTTATTACGTTATGTTTTTTTTTAATTTTCTATTGGCTGATCTACATTCTATATTGTTAGCTGCTCATTAAAGTTGAATACACGATGTACAAATTTACACGGGGATATTTGCATGTTCCTAACTTCGCAGCCTTTAGCTCATGATTGTAAATTGCAAATATCCGTGTATAAATTTGTTCGCTTTAGATCCTACGATCCTACGCGAAACTTTGTAACTCTCTCGTAATAAAAAAAATATTAGCAAAATAAACGGGAAGCCAATTGCAATTTATCCCGGTGGCGATATATTTTCCATGTTTCATCCCTCTTTCATTGTTTTATCGGTACCGTTAAGAACTCGTGTTCTCTCTCAATTGAGGATGGTTTCGGTAGCTAGTTTTCAAGCAACTTTCAAAGTGGTATCTCGCTTGACATGCAGTGATATAATGCGAACTCGGTTTTTCGGAAAGAGATATTTGTGCGAAAGCGAGCTAACTTTTCTCACCGAAATATCTTCTTCGACAGACGAGCAATGGTACGTGACTTCTATTCCGCTCTATGCGCGATATGTACAAAAGACTCACTAAACAACTATAGTTGCGTGATATGTATATATCTTTTTAAGTACATGTACATATATAATATATATGAGCGACAGGCCGTTTTACTGGCATTGCAAACAGTTGCAGATTAATGACTGAAAGCCGAAATCGATACAGCGCTTACAATATGCTACAATGTCTCAAATTGTTCGTATCTTTTTCTGATAACAATCATCTAAAAATTTTTTTATGCTATTGTTAAATATGTAATTTATTTCAAAGTTATCCGGAAATGCTGGGTATATATGTGTTGAATGCATTTTGGCATAGATTTTTTTTAGAATGCGAAAAATAGACGCACGATTAATTGAAAAACCGGAAACATACGTTATTGGTTTTTTATCGTTACCTGTACATTTAGAGAGATTTTTGTGGATTGTTAAATTAAACGACGGATGAAAGAAATTAGTCTGGAAATACGAAATTCCAGACAGACGCTAATTTATTTAATTTATTAAGTCAATTTATTTTAATTTTACTTATATTTCAACATTCTCTACTAGTCCTGTTGACCAGGAAACTTATTCTTTTATTCCTAATAACTGTATTTTCTCTAAAGTAGAATCTCTTAACCTTGAGCCGATTTACTTTTCAATTCCATAGATTTATGAATGCGTTGTTTTCTCTATCGTTATTTTATATTATAATATAATAAGTTACTAACAAACTTTATACCCTTTTCACCTCGTGTGAAAAAATTTTATATTGTTTAATTCAATCATCTAAAATTTACATAATTAGCTAGAAAGTCAGACTTGGATAATAAAAATATATGAAATATAATATCAGCATGATTTTGTAACAATAACGTTGTTTATAATAAACATAAAACTATAAATATTAAAAAATTTTAAAACATATTTTACATACAACTTTTTTTCCATTTACTTAATAAATGACGGAAAGGAAAATACAAAGAAACAGCAGAGTTAATTTGAAAATTTCAGACTAGAGTTTTTAGCGAGCTTTTAAATTAAGATAGTCGATCTCAATTCTGAGACTTCAAGTTGTCAAGTTCAGAAATTGTTCTTGAAGCAAAAAGAACGCGGGGGCATTAAAAGCGGTGCTGAGTTGAAATGCATTCGCTGCGCTTGCCCGAAGCCATCCCTGATCTCTTTTCAAATATTCCAGATTTTTTTGTAGTAGTGTCGTTTTTAGCGATGGCGTGTGTGCCTGTGTGTGTGCAGTGCGCACTTTCTTACGTGTGCATTCTGTGCAGAAAGCAAGATGGTCGAGGTGTACTTTTCTGGACAACAACTACGATAAGTATCATATTTCACTTCACTACCATGAACCACAATTTTTTTACAACATAACTAAATCTCGACAATCTCCTATAATCACGTGTCGAGCGGGAAAGCGAGTCTATCTTGCTTCATCAATGTTTGGTGTATAAAAAAATTAAAATTACTTTGCCAGTAAGAGATGTAATCGTGTTAAATGGATTAGAAATTACGCTAGAAAGATAATTATACACAAAGAGGTAAACAACATAATTGTTTAGCGTAACATGATGTCTTATTAATCTCACGAATACACCATTGTAACACCAAACATCGTTTTAAAAATGTTGTGATAAAAAAATTAAAGTAACTTTTCCTCAGTTTCTATTCATATCTCTCGAAATTCGGTACAAGATAATAGAAATAATGCTGTATAAAGTTTTTGTTACTTTTCGCTGTTACTTATGTGAATTTATTAGACATGCGTACTATATACATTCTCCACACAATTATCATAATACAATCACGGCTGTCATGAAGCATTTTCGTCAGTGAAAAAATTGATGCATTTTTCGCAATTAGCCAAAAAGTACATCAATTCATAGTTGTAGTAGAGATGGGTAACATGTTATGTCACTGTTTAATGAATACTTACCATTTTATTGATCTTATATATATATTATAACTTCTAATTATATATATAAATAAAATATAATCAATATTATATTCTCTCTGCCTTTTACCCAACTCTGTTTATAAAAAAAAACATCATAAGCTTTAATGCATAAGCATATATGATCCCGATATTTTATTCATACACAGCATTATTTCTCATTAATTATTAAGCAAACTTCCGATTTGTTTGGCAAATGAATAATTTTGTGGGCTGAATTAGCAACGGAGAAATTGAAGATTAATAATTAATATAACGCAGGTTTATGATATTGCAGTTTATTATTAGTCTCATAGAAAAAATAATCTTGAGTTTGTAATATAATTTAAGAAAATGCAAATTTTCATAATTTGCATACGTTATGTAATTATCATAAATAATGCTGGTATAAATTGTTGAAATTAGCATATCGCGGTTGCTCCCGTAACCTCGCAATATCGTTAACTCAAGCCAAAATATTATACCGAATATATATGTGTAGCTAATTATATCATACGTGTTATTGTAGCTATGTTTACTGTTCCTCCCGCGCAAAATTCTTCCTGGTGAAGCGTAGCATGTTCTATCGCTCGGTCTCTCGAATGATATATCAAGTATCAAATTTACGAGGTTTCCTAAGATCACCGACAATATATATATATATATATATATATATATATATATATATATATATTTATTTATACACATATATACTATGCGCACTCTTCTGCCGACACATGCCTTCGATATCCTTTTGATGTCGAATCGAATTTCCACGTGCAACATTTACAAGCCAATACCGGCACCGACGAAATTGCTTTTGGACGTAACAGGGGCAAGATGCAAAAATATGTAAAAAGCGAAACACTCCAGTGTTAGCCAACAAACATCACACAAACAAAGTACGGCGCACACTTGCACGCGTGTACAGATGGAATAGATAAAGTAATGGTTACCTGGAACTGTTGCATCGGGTAGGCCATCATTTGTGCCGGTGGCGGTGGTGGCGGGGGTGCGGCTTGCACCCCTGGGGGTGCCGTGACCGTCGTGGCGTGGTGTGGTGGTAACTGTGGTCCCCCAGGTAATCCCTGACCCCATCCTGCTGCTGTGCCAGCAGCATGGACAGCACCCATTCCCATTCTATGTTTGTAAAAATGCATAATTGTCAAATCGAATAACTTTACAAAGCAGTATACAAATGCTAGGATTAGTATTTTTCTTGATATAATATTAACGTTTACCATGTCGCAAGTATATTATATAATATTGTATTGTTAATATTTTTTATTGCAATTAACAAATAAATTAATAAATGTTTAAAAACTAAATATTAGATATATTTTGTGTTATCGGCTATGATATAATTTTATTAAAGATAATAATACACATTGACAAATTTCTAAAATTATTTTGTGACATTTATCAATATAAATCAGTTTGAATTCTTGTATGATATTAAAAACTTATAATTATGAACAATTATATGTTCTTAATAATTTGTAAAGTTAGTATGTAGTTTCAAGTTATTTCGATCAAAAATTTCCGAATTGCTTTATGATCTATCGATGCTGCAAAAAGATGGAGGAATGATATATTCGTGTTACATTTAAATTTCTGATAATTTAAAACTTCGTCGTCGAAAACTTGAACTTATCTCGCGTGAAAAA